CCTTTCCAGCCATCGCAATCCTACAGAATCGGGCCAACGAGGCCTCCAGCCTTTGGTAGTCGCCCTTCGCGAGCGTGAAAGATTCCAAACCACTTAAAAGAGCATTGTACGCAAATGCTTGAAGTAGCAACCGTTTGAATTTCCAAGACAGCTCCAGCTGCCAGACTGAACCCAGAGACCGAAAAGAGACCCAGGCTGCCGAAATACGTCGGTCGATTTCGTGATGTACGCCGTCCCGAAGAGCCAGATGGGGCCCCAGATACCTCACCTCATCCTTTACTGAGCCCTCCAGTCCCAGACCTCCTCGCCTAAGAGCCTGTTTGAGATATGTGTTGTGGATCCCGAAAAACATCATGAACTCCTGCTTTGACATGTTCTGGCCGAACCCGTAGGGTCCCAATCTGTTGTTTAAATAGACATGCTGCTGCTTTATCTTGTTCACAAAAGACGGCAGGTCCGAACCATGATCAGCCAAGACAAAGTTATGAACATCGTCAGCATACTTCAAATAACTCACGTCGATGGTTCGGCCTGCCCACGAAGCCTGCAGCTCCTTACTGCACATGTCACTAGTGTGAACATCATCGCGCCACTGCTCGATCGGCGCCTTGAAGGTTCCGTTAAAAGCCTGCACGATAAACGGATCCCCCATCAACCCGCCCTGCTGAGTCTTCAGTGTTATCCGCCCTCCCTCCCCAGCAGGTAGGGCCACGACGGCCTCGCGATAACGAGCACGGCAGAGACTGCGATCATCATGTGCTACGTACTCCTGTACAGCTGCGTCCATCTGCGGCCACTTGCCGCTGGCGAACGCGTTACTCATGTCCTTAAAGCACAGACAGTGGGTTCTGCGAGCACGGCGCAAACGTTGCGAGAGCACATTCGAGACCAGGATAGCCGACTCCCTCCTCCTTCCCTTAACGACCCCATAGTCCGAGTGGCCAGGCTCGTAGACAAACTTGCGAGCGAAAAAAGCCTTGCCTGGAACAGGTAAAATGTGGACCACCCTCTTGCCCATCGGGCCGCGCTTGTGGCTCTTGTGGAGAGGGGCGCCCAGACTGCAGTTCCAATACTTCGGGACCGTGTCATGGGTCCGCATTTTGTGGAGGCCGAGGTTCAGGATAAACCAGAAAGCTCTCGTATCTGGTGCCTGAGATGGAGCCCCGAGGCCCCCGACTTGTTTTCGTCTCCAGTTCGGGTACAAACTGATAGGACGCGCAAGCCTGGATCGAAGTGCATGGATTCGCGACGGGCCCCACTTTCGTGCAGACTCGACGCACCCTATCGCTGACTCATTCGGCACGGGCTTCACATTTCGGTGGTCAATTTTATTGACCCACGGGGTCAATTTTTTACAACTCGCGGCGCTAACGGGCGTTATGCGGGGGGGGATAGGGGGGAGCAGAACGTCACACTCCCGCCCCCCACTGTGACAGACTGTGGTGCCGGCCCCACTGCGGCAGTGTTGGGGATGCACTGGGGTGAGGAGCGTTACGTTGTTGGGGCGGTGGAGGGTGGGGGGGTGAGGATGGCATAACGCGCGGCATGGCCCAAAGGGTATTCAAACACTCATGTTTGGGCGTGCTCTGTTCGGTGAAGCAGGGGCAAGTGGCCAGGGCACGCCTGTTCACTCTCTCCACCCCGCTCCAGTTCCCCATCAAGCCTTTCCGCCTCTCTAGCCCGGGCGAACTCATCCGACTTGTTGCGGGCTCGTTTCGGCGCGTGCCTGTTTTTTCCAACCCTGGCCGCTTCCACTTTTATAGAGCTTCCAAGTTCCATTTTTCCTAGCTTCTCTACTGGGGTGAGTACAGGCTCAGGGAACCGAGGCTCGAGGTCTGAGGTCTGCTTCCTGGACGTCCCTGGTCGTCCCGGGGCGCCCCCGTGGCCACGGCTGGATCCCCTTCGGAGCTCCCCGGGCAGAGCGCACCCCAGGCAGAGGTCTGGGAGTCGACCCTCGGCTTGCTAGTCTTAAGTTGGGCCTGTCCCCCTACAGGGGGGTTCTCGACGGAAAATGAAACGTACCCCAAAAAATAGTCCAAAGATAGTCCCCAAAATGGCCTGGGGGCCATTTTTTAAAAGCTTTTTTTTTTTTTTTGCCTTTTTGGGGTATTGTTGGGGTATTTTTATTTTTCGCTGAAGATCCCCCTGTAGGGGGACAGGCCCGACCTGACGCTGGTCAGGGGCAACGCTCGGGGCGGACCGCCTCCGGGGGGGATGCCTCGACCTCGCCAAAATAGCCTGGGGACTATGTTGTTGAGCCTTTTTTGCCCTTTTGGGGTGTTGTTGGGGTATCTTCACTTTTCGTCGAAAATCCCCCCTCGGCCCCGGATCGCCCACGGATCGCCCGCTGGGGCATGGTGGCCCACCCATTGCCCAGGAGCGCGCGGCTTCGACCCATCGGGGGCCTGCCGCCGATGCATCGGCGCTGCAGCGCCGATTTCCTGGCCGATGGACGTTCCCCGCCGCTGGCACCGGGGCCCCCTCCCACAACCTCCTCCTCCTCCTCCTCCCCCTCCTCCTCCTCCTCCTCCTCCCCCTCACCTCCGCCTAACCCCCCACAGTGGCACGTCGATTGGTGCATTGTCCGTTTCCGGTTCTCGAGAGGCCGCGCCGCGGCCGTTCTTTTTCCAGGCCTGCGCCCGCCAGGTTTGGGCCTCAGGTCGTTCTCACGAAACTGCGTTTTACGAAAGGGAGGTCTGTCCATCCCCGAACCAGGCCCCCTCCCCCCCTGGAGCGCTCCCCCATGCTGGGCATCTCCTCATCACGATGCCAATCTCAGGGATTCCCTTTTTTTTGGAGGGCGCATCCCTAAGATTGTCCTCGCTTCTTGCCGTGTCAATCTTAGGGATAGGCACAAGTTCGAGGCCGGTAACGTCCCCCCACCAGATCTCCCCCGCCAGGCCCTGGACCTTCGCCTGGGCGCCGCTTCGTCGGGCCGAGCGCCCTGCCGGCTCACTCGCCGGGGCCTCCCTGCGGGGGCGCCCAGGGAGCCGCGCGCCCTGCGCAGCGCGGCCGGCTCGCGCCGGAGGATCGATGGAGGCCGCAGCTGCGCCCTTCTCTCACCACCCACCAAACCACCCCGACCCAGCCCGAAGGCTCAGATTGACCCTCGATTTCCAGGGGGGGGGGGGGCGGGAACATAGAAAAAACACATGTGGAACCCTTCGCCCCCCCCCCCAATCGGAGGGCACCAACTATACACCAACACCGATCCTGGCCAGGATCACCCTGGGCCCAGGATCGGTGTATATGCCTTCTTGCGCAAGGCAGGAGGGCGTATACACCGATCCTGGGCCCAGGGTGATCCTGGCCAGGATCGGTGTTGGTGTATAGTTGGTGCCTTCCTACCCAACCCGAAATTCGGGTCTTCGGGTTGGGTTGGGGTGGTCTGGTGGGTAGTCACTCTCCCCGGGCGGCGGCGCGAGGGCGCGGCGGCCACCGCGCGCCACGCACGGCAGGGGCGCGGCGCCGGCCGACGCCTCCGACGCCATGGCCGTGCTAAAACGACGCGAAGATCGGGGCAAAATCGGATCGGGATAACTCGAAATCTCTGAGAATCGGCGGGTTTGGAGGATGTGTTGGGCGCCGCGGCCGCTCCAGAGCGTTCCGGGACGTTCTGAGAGCGCTCCGGAACGCTCTGGAGCGATTTATCCCGATCCTAGCCCTGTTTTAAGGGCGCGGCGGTCACCGCGCGTCACGCACGGCGGGGGCGCGGCGCCGGCCGACGCCTCCGACGCCATGGTCGTTCGTTCCACGTACAGTGCCGTTTTTGATCCATGCTTACCTCCAGGGTGCCCTGGGTTTCTGGGTTTTCGATGGTCTTGCGATGGAAGGCGTGACGTTCTCACACAAAAAATCCACGGACGCCCTGGGGTCTCAGGGCTGGGCTTCTCGTGGGAAGCTTCTTGTGGACTGGCCTCCACTGTACAGTGCCGTTTTTAATCCATGCTCCGCGTGCGGATCATGTACTGAAAATGCAGGGATTTGGTCTTAGAAGCAACGATGAGTTCATGCATACATTTATCCATACATTGATCCAGTATGAAACATCCTATATCTTAAAAAGTCCTGTGTATGAAAACCTGCCCTGTAGCTCCCCAGAGGTCTGGGCCTCTTCCGCCGGACGGGCTCTCCTTCCACTGGCGGCCTGGGGCCCCGTGGAGGCCCTCGGAGGCCCCAGGCTGTCAGACACCTCCTGTCGCGACTTCTTCACGACGCGAGGATGCTTTTCTTCAGGAGGGGAAAAAACACACAGACACAACTAAGCGTCGACCCCCAAGAAAATATAGGAAAATATAGGAATTGGGCGGGAAGACAACAACCCAGAAAATATGAGAAAATATGGGGCATCATTTTATGTGTGTATATTTATTTGTGTGTCCTTGTGCCCCTTGATTTCTGGGAGACGAACGATGGCATGCATGTAGACTGTCGGAGCTCCGCGCGGATTGCCCGGATTGGCGCTCTACCCACCTCCCTGGCGCGCGGAGCAGGCCGGGGGCGGCGCCGGAGGCACCGCCAGTAGGCCCCAGTACCGATCCGATATATCCGCGCGGACCTCCGATAGTGTACAGTGGACACCCATGCCAAGAAACACCCTGCTTGCCCTCAGGGTGCCCTTGGTTTCTTTGGTTTCAATGGTTTTGCTATGGAAAGCATGACTCCCCACACCAAACATCAATGGACGTCCCAGGGTCTCAGGGTTGGGCTTCTTGTGGAAGTTTTTTTGTATGGTCGAGCTCCATGTCATTGCTTGTTCTCCTGATGCTGGGCGCTGGGCGCTGGGGTGTTCCCAGACATCCGGTGTCTCGATTTGTTCGAGACACGAGCCCCCGACCTCTGGACCACTGCCCCGGGACCTCTCTTGTTCATCCCGAGTCCTTTCTTGACGGCCCTGAGGCCCGGCAGGGGCCCGGATGTAGGCCGCAAACTAGGAAACAGCATCCCCGTCTCGATTTTGCTCGCGACGCCCGATGTCTGGCTTGGGGCCTTCCCGACAGGTCGAGATGGAGCACCGAAAGCTGCTGCTGGCGGCCCTCCAGGAGGCCCCGCCTGGTGGCCCGGCGCGGCTGGCACTGGCGGGGCGGGCACTGGGGGGGGGGGTCGATTTGGGGGGGGGGGCGAGGGCCCCAGGATCGAGTAGGAGGAGTAGGAGGAGGAGGAGGAGGAGGAGGAGGAGGAGGAGGAGGAGGAGGAGGAGGAGGAAGAGGAGGAGGAGGAGGAGGAGGAGGAGGAGGAGGGGGTGAAAGGAAGGGGAGTACGAGGAGGAGAAGAGGAGGAGGAGGAAAAGAAGCAGGAGGAGCAGCAGAAGGAAGAGGAGGAGGAGAGGAGGAGGAGGAGGAGAGGAGGAAGATAGGAGGAGGAGAGGAGGAGGAAAAGGGGGAGGAGGAGGACGAGGGAGGAGGGGGATGAGCATGAGGAGCAGGAGGAGGATGAGCAGGAGGAGCAGGAGGCGGAGGAGGGTTCTGGGCCACAGGTGTGGCGCGCCCGAGAGGCCGCTGCGTCCCACGGAGCAGAGAGCCAAGAGAGGAAGAGGGCATCGCGCAGCTCGGTGACAGACTACAGTGGTGATTGGCCAAATTGCCACCACCACTACAAAATGTAGGACCGGCAAGAAGGGAGGATGGGGAGCTCCTCCTCCTCCTCCTCCGCCTCCTCCTCCTCCTCCTCCTACGCCTCTTCCTCCTCCTTCTCCTACCTAGGGTAGTGGTGGTGGAACATCGGCCCATCAAGTGGGGGGCCCTTGCCAAGAAACACTGTAGGCCTCCCAGATGGGGTCGGAGTAGATGGGGTCGGCGGATCGCGCCGCATCGCCGACGCATCGACGATGCGGCTCGATGTGGAGCCCGTGTTTCCCCACGCCGACGTCACCGGTGCATCGCCGACGTCGCCGATGCATCGAGTCGGATGACTCCAGGAGTTACCAAGACTGCGCAAGTACCGTGACCGCCACGGTGGCCCAAGAGGGCCAGAGAGGCTCTGGGCCGCCAGGCCGCCGCCGCCGCCGCCGCCCCCGGAGACGGGCGTCCTGGCTTTCCTATAGGCTCCAGTCGGGCCTGTCTCTTTACAGGGGGGAGATTCAAAAATAATAGAAAAATAGTCAGGGGACGTTTTTGTACTGTGCATTTTTCTTATATAGATATATATGTGTAAATACATGTGTGTTTTTATTTGTCTGTGTTCAATATTAGTTTTTTTTGTTTTGTGCATATGTATGAATTTTGATAGATATATATATATATATATGTATCGTCCAAAATCCGCCTGTAGGGGGACAGGCCCGACATAACGATAGGCCCACGATTACGGTCTACGCGGGCTCGCCCTGCTTTGTGCACGGCCTATCGACTGGCGCGGCCCTGCTTTGCGCGGCCTCGAGCACCCTCGAGCAGTAGCGGGCCGTCTGGGTTTGCCTATAGGCCCACGATTCAGCGTTCTTATGGCTCTGTGGTCTCAGAACATCTGTGGCTGAGACTGTCTTAGTTCAATACATGGGCCTCATGTTTAAACGCACCTTGGCTTCGTTTCCAGAGCAACACGTCGTTGTAGGCCTACCTGAATGCCGGGGCGGTCGGTCCCTCCTGGGCATCGGGGCTTAAGCGGCGGGGTTAATGGGCCCGCCAGGGCGCCGGATTTGCGGATCCTGCAGGGGCAGGGGCGCACTGACCTGGGTCTGGGTGCAGGATCCTGCAGGATCCTGCATGATCTTGAAGGTTTTTGCGACGCCTGACAGACCCTGGTCTGGATTGACCAGGGCCAGTAGGTCCCCGAGGAAAGAGTGGCGTCGTCTTAGGTCCAGGTCGGGCATGTCCTCCAACAGGTGGATTTGTTTAACGACAGTTAGAGAGTATGTGCTATCTGTTATTTTAAACAGGAAAAGCAACGTTTTCAAATGGCAGAAAGATCGTCCCCCGATCTTTTTTCTATGTTTGGATTCTCCTCCTGTAGAGGGATATGCCCGACTTGTGCCTCGTCCCGCGCGCCGGGGCCCCTCGGGGCAGAGCGCGGAGAGCGCCGCGCGCGGGGCCGGGCGCGCGGGCCCGGCGGGGCAGCTCCGAGAGGCCCCGCGCGCGCGCCCGGGGCCGTGCAGGCTTGAGCTGTAGGTCGGGCGCCTCACTCCTGCAGGGTCGGGGTTTTCGCGGGCCGTCCTCAGGCCGTCCTGGGCCACTGCAGGGCCATATGAGGACGCATCGCAGCCTAGGGAGGGAAGGGCATCACCACCCAGGGTGCGCGGTCGAGTCATTTGAATCAAGAGGTCCTTGGGGGCAGATATAATCTGCATGCGCGGCGGGCTCCCTCTCGGTCACTCGTCAAGAATAGTATCAAGTCTGGTGACGGTGTTTCTCACAGGGTCCTGGCTCGCCTATAGGCCAACCGAACAATTTTATGATAACCTGTTGTGGTTTGCACAGAGTGTTCTTTGAACATTTCTGGCTGATATTGTCGTGTTTCAACGCATAGGGTGTATGTTCTAAGAATATGGACTTCGTCATTAGAAGACTGGGGTTCTAAGCGCATTTCGTGGTATGCCTATAGGAATGCCGGGACGGTCGGTCCCTGCTCAAGTTTCGTACATGTTTGATTCGTTTCTGTTATTTTACGTTTTTATGTGAAAAAGCTGCCTTCCGAACTCCACCTGTAGGAGAACATGCCCGACCTAACCCGAGCTCTGGGAGTCTGCCCGTGCGGTCTCGGTTCGGCGCGGCGCTGGCCGGCGGCGCGGGCGCGCCGAGGGTGGCGGATCTAACGGCGGGGCGTTCCGCCGCAAAAAGTATACACAGACACTTGCCACTGGACTTCTAGGCCTCCCAGATGAGGTCGGCGTAGATGGGGTCGGCAGATCGCGCCACATCGCCGATGCATCGGCGATGCGGCTCGACGCGGAGCCCGGCTTTTCTTCTCGCCGACGTCGCAGATGCATCGCCGACGTCGCCGATGCATCGCCGGTGCATCGCCGATGTATCGCCGCCGCATCGCCGATGTATCGGCGATGCGGCGCGGTCCTTCGACACCATTTGCTCCGACCCCATCTAGGTGGTCTCTATTCTTGGGCCGTGGCCGATCTAACATTTGCTCATCTGGGTGGCCTCTAGTCTTGGAGGCCGACTCGATCGGGGCCGCGGCCGCTCCTGGGACTGGAGGGTCGGGGGCGCAACGGTGGGCGCCAGTCCCCCGGCATGCCCGCGTCGTGGGCCCATCGCGGCCGAAGGCGTGTTGACATGTTCGGCCTCTGGGGGGCCCTTGCTGGGGAACCTGTCGGGGCCTTCGGCCCCTCCCCCTCCTCCTCCTCCTCCTCTTTTCCCTCCTCCCCCTCCTCCTCCTCCTCCTCCTCCTCCTCCTCCTCCTCCTCTCCTCCTCCTCCTCCTCCTCCTCTCCTCCTCCTCTCCCTCCTCCTCTCCTCCTCTCCTCCTCATCATCCTCCTCCTCTTCCTCCTCCTCCTCCTCCTCCTCCTCCTCCTCCTCAGATTCGTTCGCTTCCTCTTCCATGATGACATCGATAGGAGGTGACTTCCCCAACAGTTTCAAGCCTTTCCGTTGGATCTATATCCCCGTGCTGAAGGCAGACTGGGCTGGGCGCTAGGCGATGCGCGCGCGCCAGGGTTCAAAACCCATTTCTTGGTGGCTGCTCCTCGAAGTCCACCTACCTGGGGACCTCCCTTCCCATGAGGTAGCGCAGTGTCTCAAAATCCTTTCCCATGATAAGCACGAGGATCGAGCGCCAGGCCCATCCTGGGACCAGCAGCGGTGTATCGCCCTCCTGGCCCCGAGCCACGCCAGGAGTGATGGAGGGGGAGGATTGGAGGAGGAGGAGGAGGAGGAGGAGGAGGAGGAGAAGAGGAGGAGGGGAAGAGGAGGAGGAGGAGGAGGAGGAGGAGGAGGAGGAGGAGGAGGAGGAGGAGGAGGAGGAGGAGGAGGAGGAGGAGGAGGAGGAGGAGGAGGAGGAGGAGGAGGAGGAGGAGGAGGAGGAGGAGGAGGAGGAGGAGGAGGAGGAGGAGGAGGAGGAGGAGGAGGAGGAGGAGGAGGAGGAGGAGGAGGAGAGGAGGAGGAGGAGGAGGAGGAGGAGGAGGAGGAGGAGGAGGAGGAGGAGGAGGAGGAGGAGGAGGAGGAGGAGGAGGAGGAGGAGGAGGAGGAGGAGGAGGAGGAGGAGGGAGGAGGAGGAGGAGGAGGAGGAGAGGAGGAGGATGGAGGAGGATGGATGGAGGAGGAGGAGGAAGGGGAGGAGGAGGAGGGAGGAGGAAGGAGGAGGAGGAGGAGGAGGAGGAGGAGGAGAGGGAGGAGGAGGAGGAGGAGGAGGAGGAGGAGGAGGAGGAGGAGGAGGAGGAGGAGGAGGAGGAGGAGGAGGAGGAGGTGGAGGAGGGAGGGAGTGAGGGAGGGAGGGAGGGAGGGAGGGAGGAAGGGAGGGAGGAGCAGGAGGAGGGGACGGAGGACGAGGAGGAGGAGGAGGAGGCGGAGGAGCGAATACGCATAGATCTCACCGCCTTGGAGGAGGGCCGGCGTGTGTGGCGCGCAGGGGGCGGCGGGCTGACCCCTGGGGAGCTACGCGGGCCGCCCGCGCCCGCTCCGAGGCCCCCAAGGCGGACCTGACGCTGGGCGCCACCGCCGTGGAGGGCCCCGAGGCCGCGGTGGCAGCGCCAACGCGCGGCGCAGCGACGATCGCCGAAGAGGAAAAAACCGGCGCCTCTGGCGCCGCCTCTGGCGCGCTCCGCGCGCCAGGGAAGGGATCCCAGGCGCGGATCACAGAAATCCGCGCGGAGCGCCAGAAGTCTATGTTTATTGTTTTTGTTTCTTCTTCCAGAAGGGGGCACTGAGGGCCGAGGAAGATGGATCGAGGGGGATGAGGATGAAAAGGAGGAGGACCAGTGTAAACCCAAGAGTCATCAACGATGTTGGAATAAACCCTCCCGCCAAGCTCCCGCTCCCTCTGCCCAGGCTCGTACAAGGGTTCACTTCCACTGAGGGAACTGCCTCGTTTGAAGACACAAGTTGGAAGACCCTTCAGCATGCCAAAACGTTATTATCGGGATTCCAACGCCACGTATCAACCTGACTGCTGCGCCTTGACGATCTGAATTCGTGCCAAAATGCCAGGCCTGGGATTCCAGCACCACGGATCAACGTAATTGTTGCGCCCTCACAACTCAACATTTGTTCAAAACGCCAGCTTTGGTACGTTTACCATGGGATGCCATGGACCTCTGGCAAATTGTGTAAAAAGATTCGGGCGGCGACAAGGCGAGAGCCACATTTTGAAAACGGACTTTGAAAACGGACCGCCTTCAATCCGTGAAGTTCATGCGAGTGTTTTGCACGAGTGTGCGCGGCGCTAAAGCGAGAGCCACATGTTCCAAACCACTCGCTTTCAATCCGTGAAACCCTTGCAATTGTTTATAACGGATGTGCGCGGCGCTAAGGCGAGAGGTACACGGTGAAAACGGCCCGCCCTCCATGTGTGAAATTGTTGCCAACGTTTAAGTTCATAGTTGTGCACGACGACCGTCTCAGGAGTCTCGGCATGGCTTCAGCGTTGCATGGTATGGGAATTCGAATGGCGTTGTATGTGGTGCACGAACAAGGCTGGTGATTGCTGGTGGAACGCCGCAACGGCCAGACCATGCGGCCAGTGCGGATGCAACACAAACGTCGCCTTTTCAGTCCGTCAGGCTGTTAATTCACGCCGCCAGCACCAGTCTCGCGAAGACGAATTGGCAGACAACTCGCGAGAAACAGCTGGAGAAGCAAAATGCTGACATTCAGTTCCAGCTGGTGGCACAACAGGTGCGCGACGGCAGCAACCACATGGGAAGTTTATGACGGAGGTACGAAAGGACGGCGAGCCCACATGTAAAGCAATGGCGCTGGCCAAGGCGATTTGCAAGGCGTTGCCCACGGCGCTGGTGTCGGAGTCCGACAAGGAGCATAAGTTCCCTTTGGGACGGCACCGTGGCGGGTGCAAATCCAAGATTGGAGTTGCGCAGCCCTTGATGGGGAGGGCCCACGACGTCGTCAACCAGACGCTGCAGCTTGAGGAAAACCACGTTCGAATCCAATGGCATGGTGGTTCGGTTAGCTCGGATCACAAATATGTGGAGACGCACTCGGTCCATACTTCCAATTGCACCTCTCAGCGCCAGCTGCTGGAGTACCTACCCTGGTCTAAAGTGCAGGTGATGACGATGCAGCTACATCGCGCTCTTTTCACGACAAGCTTCCATCTGCCCTGGCGAAGATGCTTTGGTTTGGGCTGCAGGGGATCTGGTCGCCAGCGCAACTCGTGGAAGAAGGTGGCAAAGCAGCGGGCGCCGCGGTGGCGAGGCATCGCGCGACGGCTACGGAGGCCCCGAAAACAGTCGTCGGCATTCAGCACCCCGGGCTGCAACGCGCAGGCAAGGTCTACCAGGGACAGTGATAGATGCTCTCTCGGTTGTCGCAGGTCTCGCATCCCACATCAGTCGCCCCGCGGTGGAAGAGGAGGCCGGTGCAACGCACCATTTGCCACTGCCCACGGCCTCGAGCGCGCGGCGGGGAACGCGGCCGATGGCAAGGGCTGCTTACTAGGATGTTTCATGGATGTGCGTGGCATTCCTGTGGATGAAGCATGGCGGGCGAGTGGTTTGCGCGCGCTGGCTATGGCGAGGATCTTCCGTCGGCGTGGCTGGCAGTGATCAGTGCCATTGATTCGGAGTTAGCTTGGAGGCGCATAGTGACTTCCACCGCCTGGTGGGTGAGAAGCATTGGTGATTGCATGCAACGGCATTCCTGGGGATCGGCCCGAGTCTGGACATGGATGCGCGCAGGCTTGGCGGGGAGTTGAGAGATGGGCGCACCGCGCGCGGCGCGCGGGAGTGCGCGCGAACACGCTGCCCGCGATCAGATCGAAAGCGGGAGTCTCAGCCTCTGCGGATAATGCAGCATTCGAGGCTCAAAGGGAGCATCGCCGCCAACGCTCGGAAGAAGCGCGGCCCCAGGGCGCGAGAAGAAGCCCGCGCGGACCCACGTGGAGAAGCTGGGTGTCCTTTTCCACGCACTGGGAATGTGCTTGCGCGGTGCTCAGCGCGGTCGACGTCCTGTGGATGCTGCAAGATCTGCCAGCGTCTTCCCGATGGCTGGTTGGATATCCGGATTCAGCGATGGCGGGGGTCGCAACAGCGAGCAGGCGAACGCGCAGTCGCAGCTAGCGCAAGATCCGCAGTCGGCGCAGCGCGAGAAGAGCTACCGCCATGGATCGGGGAGACTTTCGGCAGTGGCGGTCGGGGCGCGCGCAGACTCGCGCGACGTCGGTCGTTGCCAGAAGTCTTGCAATCATGTGTTCTTTCTGCGCCACCGCGAAGAGTTGGCCAAGGATCGGAGAAGTGGTGGCAGGCATGGAGTCTTCATCATGGCGATGGCGAGGTCCCTGCGCCCGCTGACGCGGGCCAGCGGCGGGCACCTGCCAGTGCTGACAGGCCCCGGGCCTCCAGAAGTTGTGATGAGTTTTGCTCGTCGCACAGAGCGCGGGTAGGTCCCTTACCTCGGCAGGTTTGGACTGCCTGCGGTGGCGGCGCACTCGCGATGGTTGAGCTTTGCGCGACATATTCAATGGCCGCGGGATCACCGCTTCACGGAGCTACGCGCGCTGCCCAGGCTAAGTGGCGGGTCCGGGCTAACCGCGCTGCCTAGCGCGATGTTGAGAACCTGGCGCCGAGCTCGCAGGCTTGGGGCAGTGGCGCAGGGGGGTCTTCAGCAGACTGCGCGTTCCGGTTGGCTATGACCGCTGAAGCAGCACACGCCAGATACCGCATATATATCTATATATACATATACATATACATACATACTTCATACATACATGCATAGATGCGCCCCTTCAAGGTATACGAGCGGGATGTACGCATGCCCCGATAGTGTTGATGGCCGTGCTGTATCGTGCGGTAAGCAGTCAGTGTTGCAGGTATTAACGCATCATGGCGCGCGTGCCCATGTATTGCTTCGCGACGCGGCGGCGCGGTCCTGATCCGCGCGCGGCGCAGGCCCTCACCGCGCGCGCGCAAATTCGGGGCAAACTGTTCGGGGGCGGGGCCTCGCCTTCCAGCAGTCGAAGACTGGGTCCTTACCTGCGTCGACAAGGGCAAGTTTGTTTCTCGTCAGGGGCGAGATGCATGAATCCAAAAGCCACGCAGCCTAGTCGAAACTTAGGGCGCGAGCTACCTGGTGAAGGTTCGCCGCGCACAAGAGCGCGATAGCTGCGAAGTGGAGGGCGCGCGCGGCTAAGATCAAGCAGCTTAGTCGAGCGGTGCACGGGCGCGTATTTGCATCTTGGAGAACGGACCCCCCCCCCGCAGTCGGGCGCGGCGCGGGCGTCGGCGGCGAGTCGGGTTCTGCGCCTCAGCAGATGCGCCCACTAGCCTTCGCAATGATCGGCGCAGCGTAGCATGCTTCACCTGCGCTCTACCTTTCTACTCGGCTACCCAACACGGTGCATCCATCTGGTATTCCTCTCGACTCTACGATTATCTGGATATCACGATGCCCCAGTTTCATCTGGGTTGGACGCGTGTCTCTCAGAGCTCCATCGCCATCGCGCTTAGGAGGCTGTCTGCACCCAGGCTCATCATATCAAGCCACGCTGGATGATGGCGCGCGGGCCGCATGCGTCTGCACGGCGGCCGCTGGCTCGCGTTGGTTGGGGATTCGCTGGGACAGCCGATTTCATCGGTGATCTTGGGCTGCATTTTTTTGTTGCAGTTGGCTCCGCGGGGGCTGGGTGGGGGCCGGTTGAGTCTGTGCCCGTGCTGCAGGTGGCTCGCATTCGCGAACGCCCCTCTGAGCGCATTGGCGACGGGCAGATCTGGCGGCTGGGCGCTGTTCTCGGTCCGACAAGGACTCGCGAGAGGGGCGCCTTGGGCGCTGTGGGCTCGAGGTTTACCATGTCCTCGCAGAGCTGCTGATCCGCGAACTGGGAGCTCGCGCGAAAGCCCGCATCGCGCGGCAGCGATGGAACCTTGAGGCGTCGCTGGAGAGCGCGCCCCGCGCTGCTCCAGCCCCCTGACGCGCGCCCAGAAGCTCTGCCAGAAGATGCGACTGAGCTTCGGAAGTTAAGGTGGGGGGGCTCGTCGAGGGGGGCCGCGGTGGGCTCGGCGCCTTCGACCTGGCCCGCCGCCCCCGCCTCCTCAACCTGGGCCGCCCGAGGATGCGTCCGAGGGGGCCCTCCTGGAGAAGATCAGAGAGTACCCCGTGGAGGGCGGCGTCCGGGATACCGCGTGCGCGCGATGATGGAACGGCTTGACATTGCGGCGGGCGACCACTTTTCCCGCGCGGTCGAAGCTGTGCGATGGAGTCCTGAGCTAGAAGCGACCGGTGCATTGCATAATGAAATACGGAGCTTGCGTAATGCGCGTTCGCATGAGTCTGCGAGAAGTGGGTTCGCATGGGGACCATCGCAGAAGGATGTCGTGCAATGGGCACTGCGCGGGCCTGCCCTGGAGCGTCTGGAGCAATGGTGGCGGGCGCATTGGCGGATGGCCATCGCTCCGTTCGCGGCCCCCGCGGCGCCGGGGGCAGTCAGGGCGCATATGTTACTGGCGAGCTTTAATTTTAACGATCTAGCAGAATCAGCATTCCTATGCGATACCCCACTGCT